TTCAGCGTTTAGGGTTTAGGATTTCGGTTCTCAGAACAAGGTACCTTCCAGAAACTTCAGACTAGAGGGTGAGGTTTTAGGGGTTTAGGGTTTGGGATTTGGGGGTTTAGGGTTAGGGCCGAGTGGGGTTCAAGGAAAACGAGAAGAACTCCAAGACCTGAAAGATGGCATGTTGAGTACATTTCTTGTGATTGGGCTTGAAAACAGGGAGGGTTTAGGGTTTAGGGTTTAGGATACCTTGAAAGCCCATAGAAAGATAGGGCTTTTCCAGGGATTAGAGAGAACTCTCTTCAAAGGCTCGGTGTTGGTTTGAGAAGCTACCACATCTCTCCATCACACGTCCCACATCCTGAATCCAGCGTCAAACTGCGCGAGCTTTCCAAATTAAGCGTCGTAGAACCTGAAAGCGAGACCCTCCACAATCTCCCTAAAGCCCCAACCCTAAACCTGATCCCTGAAGTCGTTCGTTAAGGGCGTGCCCAGAAAGGCAAGTACCGATTCTCAGGAGATTCATTTCGCATATGGCCAGTCTTTGTTTCAACTCTTCCGAGGGTGCAGGGTGGAGAGTATTCCAGAGAAGCCTCCGCTAAACCCACACTCTAAACCCTAAACCCTGAACCCTAAACCCTGAACCCTAAACCCCTTACCCTAAACCCGTGAACCTTATCCCTGAAGCCTAAACCCTACTTGTCTACTTGTCTACATCAAAGCTTCGGAAAATGGGGGAGCCATAGAGTTCTCGAGGATGCGCTGGGTGTTTGAGATAATGAGGTTTCCTCATCCCTTTAGAGAGTTTCTTGTAGTATCCCCAACTATGGAACCTAAACCCTAAGCCCTACCTTGAACTCTTTTGATGCTTTCAAAGGGGCACCTAAACCCTAAACCCTAAACCCTAAACCCAAAGGAGCACGCACAAACATCACCTAAGACCTAAGAAGGCCGTTGAATAACCTGCGCTGGCGGACAGTTTTTCCATTCACAGTCAACATTGACCCCCCGCCCCTAATAATGCACCCCAGGGAGTCTTTCTCACTCTTTATTGGGGGGAAATATTGAATGTTAGGTGGGTGGGGGGAAGGTCCCGAGGAAGGTGCTTCCGAAATATGGCATTTGCATCACTGCCTCTCTCAAAGAATAGATATACTCTTACTTGGACGGTTCGTGGGACCTAGTCTTCTTTGACTCCATTTTTAACCCATGTATTACTTCCTCCGAGTAATCTTCCTGAGACACCGTACATACAATTACACAAAGCGCAACGATCACCGAGACCTCCAATCATGGAACAACGCAAGCAAAGTAACCTTAAGCATTGTCCCAGAACGAGTCTACAGCGCCGGACACATCCTGGAGCAACATGACACTGAAACCCTGAACCCTAAACTTCCTAAACGCTAAACCCGCTATTGACTGTAAACCCTAAATCCTTGCTTTTCCTGTTGCATGTGTGTCTTGTGTAGGCGCATTGGCCTTTTCAGGCAGCAAGCCAACAGCTATGAGCGCGATATAGAGCAGGGCTTAGAGTTTCGGGCTTAGGGGGCTTAGGATTTAAGGCTTAAGGTCTCAAATTACCACAAGGATATTCAAGTTTGTTTGAAGTACCCTACATCGTTTCTGTACAGGGAAGTTAGGACCAGAATGTTCGTAGTTGGTCAGGCTTCCACCTTACATAATCCCCATTTAAAACCTGTACGCAATTCAGAGTCTGCATGTCATTGTACATGTACTTTTGCTTTTGGTTCTCCATTTTTGGAGAATGCTTTCTCAAGCCTCCGGACCCAAAGCGTAAAGTCCATGTATCGCCATATAGCTCTATGCACCCCATATGCTAACCGTAACCCCTAAACCCGAACAACCCAAACCCCCGAAACGCTAAGCCCCCTAAACTCACAACCCTTAAAACCCTAAACCCCACAACCTTGAACCCTAAACCCCCAAAACCCACAAACCCCAAAACCCTAAACCTAAGGCTCTAATGATCGAATCTGATGAACGGAAGGGGAATGACCAGATTAGTACCCTAAACCTTAACCAAACCCAAACACACATTTCAGGACATAGTCCCCCTTAAGTAGACAGAATATGGCCTCGGGCACACTATAATAAGATCCCCATATACCCCATAGTCTATCTACTTAAGGGGGACTATGTCCCCAGACTACAGCAAGAGCCAAAAGCTGAAGAGAAAAGCACAAACAGACAGGAATGTCCCATTTAGAGCCCCTTACAGCCAACCTAGCTGGGATAGGGATCCCACCAAAATGCCGATGCTTAAGGCCTAGGGCTGGAAGTTCCCTAAACACGAAACCCCCAGAGTTTAGGGTTTAGATTTAGATTTTAGCGTTTAGGGTTTGGGGTTTAGGGTTTGGGGTTAGGGTTGAGCTCATGGCAGTGGAATGCTGGCGGCAGACGGCACCTTGTCCGCCTGAGTAAGCGCCAAAATCGCATAACCTTAGTTGTCAAGCTGTTTAGGGTTTAGGGTCTAGGAGGTTTAAGGGGTTAGTGAGGTTCAGGATAACTGCAACATGGAGGTTCAAATGTAAAACAAGACCGGCGTATATATCTACATATACATGTATGGGTGAATAGAGGAACTGTGCAACAGAGAACTCAGCGGAGAATACTATAGCTGCAAAAATGAAAGTCATGAAGCCATAAGTATGTTGGGAATTCTCCATGTTGCGCTGTACCACCTTTGTTCCAGGATTGAGCTATTAGTTTACATGTGGCGTTATACTATGCGCGACCCACTACCCACTGGACAGGTAAGCAGCCGTTTGTGAAGAGCACGTTCTCCGGCCTATGTCTTGAGTACCCTGAGGAAGAGGTCCAACTTCCGGTGAACCACGAATGTGGCGCAGAGTTGCCATCGAAACCCTCCCACATCTCTTCCCTGAAGTGGCCCGGCCCGGCAAAGGAAGAGTATCGGACCCAGTCGATATACCTTGGCTGGTTTAAGATTTAGGAATTAGGGTTCGGGGCTTAGGATTCGGCATCTCGAGAAGGGACCATACTGGTAAACAAGCTTCAACCCTAGACCCTAAGCCCTCAACCTTGATCCCTTAACCCCTAAACCCTAAACCTTTATCCCTTAACTCCTAAACCCTACACCTTTATCCCTGAACCCCTAAACCCTAAACCTTGATCCCTTAACCCTTAACCCCTAAACCCTAAACCTTGCTCCCTTGACTCCGAAACTCCAAAGCCCCTATCCCGGGAAGACTGGGTTGCTGTTAAGGAACTTAACTTAAGTTACTATATTGGGGTTTAGGGTTTAGGGTTACTATATTGGGGAAACCCTATTATTTACTATGTATACCCAGCATGGTAACTTCATTTAAGTTCCTTAACAGCAACCCAGAAGAGCCCAGGTGCTGGTAGACGGGCAAATGTCCGCCGGAGCTCTGGTCGTTGGGCCAAAGGTTGAAACGAAACTCCAAACCTTCTCCGACGTTTCCTTGACACACGCGGTTTCCACTATGGGCTATTAGACCTTAAGGGTACCTTAATCTACCCTTAATAAGGTCCTAATAGGGAATTTTTGGGTCTAATAGCCCATAGTGGTTTAGAGTGTAGGCATTAGGGAATTAGGGTTTTAGGGCTTTAAGGGCTTTAGGGAGTACTCTGGGATGGAATACAGGAGGATCCCCAAGACATAAGGTCGTATGGTACCAAACACCCCGAGAGGGATCCTTTTGTTGCCCCAAGATTTAAGGCTTAGGGTTTAGGGTCAAAGTACTACAATCTCAAAATCTGCAGAAAGAAGCCCTAAACCCTAAACCTTCTGTTCACGCCCAAAAAGTCCCAACACACCAAACCCTAAACCCCGAACCCCAATCCGTTAAACCAGTAAAACGAAAGCCCGGCCCCAGGTTGCCAAGTCTCTCACTCGGGGAGTTTAGGGGTTTACCTAGACCCCAAAAATATGCAAAATAATAACCCTAAACCCCAAGAAATAGCCCAAAAGGCAATAATTCTACATACTTTAGGGGTCCAGGTAGGGCTTAGGGCTTAGGACCTACTTTGGGTCCTTAAAGTCTGCGAACACGCCCTACTTTGGGCAACTTGGAGGTCCGGGGCCACGTACTCGCCCAAACCCTGACACCCAAAGCCCAAATCTGACTAGGGTTTAGGGTTTAGGGTTTAGGGTTCCAAAACCCAAATCTGACACCCCAAACCCTAGGTTCCCCAGTAACCCCTTAACAATAAGGGTACCCCTTTTCCTAGTATTCAGATTTAATAAGGAAACCTCCCAATAAAAAGGGCAAAAGGGTACTACTGGGGTACCTAGAACCCTAAACCCCAACCCGAACACCTAACCAACGTATGCCAGTCATTGATCCGGCTGCGATTAAACTCCTCCAACCTGGGCCCAGTGATCTTTTGAACCTCCACACCGTCCTCAGCCGACTTTAGGAAGACACAGTTTTTTGGGTTAAGGGTTTAGGGTTTTGGGTCGGTCTAGTGCTTAGGGTATGGGGTTCATGGCGTGGGGCCTCGGCCCAAATTAGGGGTCTCTGCTTTACTCAAAATTCTGGCCGTCACGGGTGTAATCAACATTCTGGCCACCTTGTTGACTAAAGTTCCCAAACCCTAAGCAGCCAGGCATCGATAGTGTACCTTGCCTCACTGGGGGTCCACTCAAAGGCGTAAGTGTGGAACCCGCCGCAGATGTTGAACTTTGCCGGGTCCACCGTCTTCTCGTGGTCCTCCGGGCCCGGCATGCCGTCTATGAAGTTGGCTTGTAGCTTGCAGATGCCGTCGCACATTGTGCCACGCTTTTCAAAGTCCAGCTCATTCCAGAAGACGTCGCTCTTCTCCGATCCTTTCTTCCATAGGTAGAAGGAACTGACGACTCCATCACCTCCTGCATGTCGCATCCTAGCCTTAGCTGAATTCAGGTCCCTTCCTACATCTTGAGCCCTGAGTTTTGAGGTTGGTAATATCAGGCAAGCTCCAAACAAGGCGCCGGGCTCAAGCTAGCCAGGTAACCTAAATCCTACACCCTAAAACTCTAAACTCCTAAAACCCTAAACCCAAAAACCCTAAACGCCTCAACCACCTAAGCCCTTAAACCCCTTAGCCGAGCAGCCTCGAACTTCCCATATTTCCGGGAAACCCAGGTCAGAAGCCTGGGTTGCTATTAGGGTTAATTGGGCTTTGGGTCTAGTAGGGTTTAGAGTTAATTGGGTTTAGGGTTTAGGGTTCGTAGGGTTTAGGGTTTAGGGTTCATTGGGTTTAGGGTTTAGGGCCAATCGGAACTTACTTTAATTTAGTATATTGTATTGGGGAATAATCGAGGGTTTAGGGTTACTGTATTGAAGTATAATATGGGGTTTAGGGTTTAGGGGTTAGGGTTTAGAGTTACTATATTTTGGGCAGCCCTATTAATTACAGTACTATGCATACCCATGATGGTATCTTAATTACCCTAAACTCTAAACCCTGA